TTTTAAAAGAAAGTATAAAGTTTTTTGAGACGGGGTTTTTTCCTACATATTTATACATATTTGAAGCATGTTTCAAAAGATTTGTATTTAAAAATAACTATAAATACGCGCTGTATATAATTATACTGAGGTCATGAAAAAAAAGATTGATCCACGGTACCTATAATTCCGGCTGTTCTGCTCATTTAAAACAAAAAAATCAAAGAAATTCTTAATTAGTATAAGTTTGGCTATAGCTGGTACCAGAACATAAATAAAATATTAAAAATTTAAAAATTGACATCATTTTGAAAATTAATTATAAATTTTTACCATTTTTTTTATCTTTAAAAGATTGTAAACATTAAAAAAAAAACGTATTTTGACTTGATCGAGGTAGGGGCTATAGCCATGAATATGCTCAAGATGTGCACAAGCCCGAATTGATTAATCAATTAGTTTTCAAGATATTATGGATACCAATTTGAAAAACATGGTTTCGAGAAAAACGGGTTTAAAGTTTTTTGTACATGATTACATAGATTGAGACCACTCTCTCAAGTGCTATGGCCGGTATTCATAAGTCGGTTTTTATTTCAAAGCCGTCTTAAGTAATGTCTTAAGATGCTAATACAGCTCTGTTATTGGCTTGTAGCATCTTAAGACTATACTTAAGACGATCTCAAATATAAGAATCGATTACGAGTACTGGCATATGACTTTGTTAATTTTGCGAATCGGGCTAAATTCTTTTGCAAATATATTTTCTATATCAAATACTTGCAAAATATGTAAAAACAAAAAAATCGATTTTTCCGATCCGCTGGACTAGAATACCTCCTTAACTACACGCAGAAAAAGGATTAGCCAATGAAGCTAAAATATATGGCAGCTAAGATGTATCGTTAAAATAGGGACAGCTAATGTCGTTGCTGTCGAAGTTCAATTTATTAGTTATTAAAATGTAGATGCTGCAGCAAAAAATATTTGCTGCTAAAATCAAATGATATTTAGCCGAATCTACTATGCTATTTTATCTTCGCATAGTAATAATATTTGCAGTATACAACTTATATACTGCAAAATATAAATGCTAAATGCGTTGTAGATGATGCATATGGCAGTGCCACATTGCAACAACAATTACAAATCAACTTTCTGCGCGTAGCTATAAACTTAGCTCTGTGTGCTAAATGTGTGCATGATAAAACATTATAGCCATCTTTTTAGCTGCCTGTACTAATATATGCTTTTAATTTCAGTAATAAATTTTTTTGTCACAGTGAATGTTTTTTATTTATAATAGCCAGAACTTAGCAATGACACTAAGACGGAAGCTCTTATAGTTAAGTTTGATTCAGCTATTGAAATTTAGCTACTATTACTAAGTCATTTTTTTGCGTGTATATGGATGTAAGTAATCACATTTGATACGTTAAAAATTTACATATAAAGCTTAGATGAAAATATATGCTATTAACAGAATTGTTCTTTTTTTGTCCAATTTATTCTTTGTTCTCCCGATAAAATTTAGTCAATAACTTCATTATTGTCTTTATTTTAACAAATATAATACATATAATATACTTAATACGGTGATTTATAGAGAAAAGTGTTTCTCTATCTCTGATAAGATAATCTCTAGAGACTAAATTTTTCTCGGGATTAGACTCTCTTGTAAATAGGTACCTGTCAATAACATACATTTTCTAAAAAAAAAGTAGCTTTCATATAAATTCTTACCCTCATTGAATTATAATCGTGGGTATAGTCTAAAACAGGACACACTAATTTGGACGATAACACACCGTCAATATGATCGTAGATTAACCACGCATTTCCCAAAATTTGGACGACATTGTACACCTTTATGAACGTCTTTAGTGAATATGGTGGCCTGTTCTTCATAAATCGAGGCCCACAAATGAACACGAAATACAGGTATGCGAATATTATAAGTGGTACTTGATAGGAAGAAGCAACTAACGGTAGATCGACTACTCGTTGATCTGAAAATCAAATTAGTATATTGAAATACATTTAAACATTCATTAAACAATAAGAAAAAAGATAAAAACGTTATTATTGTAATAAAAAAAGCAATTAATTATGAAAAAACATTGTATTTTGATCAGTATTTAAACTTTCAGCGTATATAAAATGTAATTAAATTGACAGTAATCAGTAGAGTTGGCGAATTATATTTCGCAATATTATTCATTAATTTACTATTTACGTATTCTTATTGTTTATTTACAACACTAATGTTCCACGCATTACTTACATTTATCGCTGAAATTATATGTTTTTTTATTATACTTGTTTAAAAAAATTCCACAAATTTAAAAAGCTTAATAAAAAAATTAGTTTTTTGTAATTATCTATATGACAAGTTTGACATTTAATAATATTAATGATGCGAAGTTTTTCTTGCAGATCTTCGTGACAATAATTGTCTCAAATACTGTAAATTGTTACTAAATCTTGAATTGCATTGTGTTATTACTTTGAGCTTTTGCTAAATAATAAATAGTGAGCGGTAATACTCACCGAGATTTTTCGTCCAGGAATGTGATATGTCGTGTAAGAAACCCATGATAGAGACAATTGCACTGTGTCGATCTTACGAATCGCTATCTCTTTATTATTTGCAACAAAATATCACTATTTGACTACCATTGATATATTTTATATCACGGAACAGTCGCATCGACGTGACGATCGGAATCTATTGTGCGCAATCATCTAGCATGCGCTTTCGTTGTATTTATATTGTGGGCTTCTTTGTACTTTGCTCTTGGGTCCGAATACAAGAGTATCTTCTTATAATGTGACCTCATGACCTTGATACGCATATGTTATTAAATGCCACAATGTGACGTGCCAGTATGTTAATTACAATCGATTGAAACAATACAATTTTCCAATTAGCATGATAATTTACAAAAGCAATGCTCGATGGAATAATTACAAGCAAACTTTTTACTTATTAACACGAGATAAGTTTTTCTGTGACTACAGTTTTTTTTTAATTGTAAATTGTTATTAAAATTAATCAATTATTGCACTATCATTATTTTATTTTAATTTAATGAATTTTTCCTGGATAATGATATGAATAGTACTCTCCGCAGGTTAATTTGTCCAGATTATTCTAAATAATTATAACAAATTTAATTTTTTTACATACAAATTGTTATAAAAATATTTTCGCATTTTTAATAATAATTAACTTTAAGTGAAGCGTATATACAGGGACGTTTAATTTTTCTCGTACTTTGCTCGTACTTTAGGCTTTTGATTTGTAATACACACCTATCATATACATATATTCCATTTATACACATTTTTCTAAATTTATATTTTAATTGTGAAATAAAATGTTTATTATATAAATGTTATTGTACACGAAACATATTAGCATCAAATTTGTATTTAATAATAGTATTAAATAATAACATATTTAGAGTGAGTTTTCAGAATTATATTAAAAAGTGATATATCTATAAACTATTTGATTACTGTAAATTATTTAATTTATTTTTGACTTACAATTAATAAAATAATCTAAGCGCTTTTCTCATTGTTCGAAACAATTTCGAAACTTCTTTTTCTCAATGCTGTTCAATCTTCTGCTATTTTCGAATCTCAATACCGTCAACAAATCTCGAATACTAACAAATATTTTCTCTTTCAGCTATATTTTTATCAGAAAATAAGAGAAAGTTGCACAGAGCTAGATCAGGATAATAGGAGGGTAGGGAACCCCAGCTATGTTACTTTTTTGTCAAAACCTGCTGAACAGAGAGCCGTTTGCGCATTGTCATAACGCAGGAACCATCCAATAGTTTCTGACAAAGAACATGACTATAGTCTTTCCTGCCCTCTCCTTCTTGTTTTCCTGATCTTGCTCCGTTTTCTTTTTGCTTCTCAAAATAAAAGTGTAACAGAAAGAGAAAAGATTTATCATAAAGTTACAGAAGACGCTAAGCACCATTGAAAAAGACTAGTTTGAAAATTGCTTCCAACGGTAAAAAAAGTTCTTGAACGAATGTGAAAAAAAATTAAAAAGAAATTATTTTAAATTGACTTGAATTGAAATTAATTTCGGGTCTACTTGTATTTTTAATTCCGGAAACTTTTAAAGATTTTCTCGAACATAAATTCGCTATGCAAATTTTATTAATAGAAAAAAATCTATCAGAATTAAATATATTTATTCTTTACGGTATAATTATTATGTTGTTGCAGTTGTGCAAAGAGAATATAAATAAATCTTGACATTTGTATTTTGTATATTGATATTCTTAATATTTGTTACAACTTTTTTTAAGAATGCTTATAAAAATTACAATTTTATCTAAAAAATGTGATGTTTTAAAATTTTAAAGAAAGAAAAATCTTTTTATTAATATCTAATTTATTTAAGTAATTAATGTTTTGATGTTCAATATAAATAATTATTAGAAAGTAATTAATTATTAATTATAAATATACTGCATTAAGGGAACTGCTATACTGTAGGAACGCAAGCTAAGCTTAAACGTTACTTTGATAATGTGGTGTTACTTCTTTGTGCAAGGGGCTTTTAAATGACTTATATAATGCAATATTAAATTCTAAACTATATTATAATTTCTCTCGCGCTCGTGCACGCGAGCAGACATTACACGAGATACTTATTTTACTTCCAAAGTATGCATATGAAACACTAGAACGCTAGACTCGTATGCTTTGATCAAAATTACAATATATTTTCATATCAATGTTATCATTTTATTTTTTCACTTTTAAAATATCTTACAGATTAGACATACAGCGAGATATTAATAAGATTAATTGCATATCTTAATATACTATAACGTAATATATAGACGTAAACAAGATATAATGAATCGCACTACCTAATTGTAAGTGATGGATATTCATTACTTTTCAAGCTTTTGCCTTTAAGCTATATTAACAGTATTATATATTATGTATTTTTAGAAGATTTTATGTAATAGTTTCTGTGGAAACTGTAGAACAGGAAAAGATTTATTATTAAGTTTTATAAAGAACGGACCACCACACTCATAAAAGACATTTATGAAGTTATGAACAGATCACCACACTCATAAAAGACATTTATGAAGTACAATATCGTCTCAATAGTTGATATATGGTCATACCGCTGATTTTTTATTATTCTATGTTAATGTGCCTAGTTAATTTTTAATTACTCCTATAATTTGTATATGTATAAATTGCTTTTTGAAAAAAAATATGTTATAATCAGCAAATTTAATTATAAATTTAATGTGAAGGAAAACTTAATACTTCTGTATAATTTACTGTGCCAATTTATATTACATTTTGTTATTAAAATAACGAAGTAATTAAGTCTTTGCTTAAATTTTGAGGACAATGTACGAATTGAGTAAAAAAAGAAAACAAATAATTTTCTGTTAATTATATACATTTTTATCTAAAACTGTACACGAATCATATTGACTATATTTTTTATACTTTTGTAATTTTTATATCTTTTTTCGCATTATGTAACTAAAAATAGAAGCATGTCGCTCCTTTTAGTAAATGTTGATGTTTTTTTTAAAGCGAAGTTGACATGTAATTAATAACTGAGATAATGATTTAACCGATAAAATATCCGATTAGATGCTTCGGTCATAAACTTGTAATTTTTACTAAGGGCTGTATTATATAATTAGTGACTTATCCTGTGAAGATCAAACTTATATAAATAATTAATCACGCAATATTTCTGAAAATCAATCTGCGGCAAATATGTTTACATTAATATTCCCTTCCATTCTGTTTGAAATATGCATATTATACAGCTTTAACTATATATATAATACAATAATATACATACATAATGACCAGTTTTTTCATGGAGCCAGACTTGCATAGTAAAACAAAATATGACGTAGGCGATTAGAAATTTGATTTATGAAGTCGATTAATGACTAATTGTTTTTCAATCTGGAAGTTTGAATGCGGGTTTGTAATATTAATATCATCGTATTTCTGGAAAACAAAAAAATTATTCGATAAAAGGACATCTTTTGCTTCTTTTAACTTTATTTTACTGTAAAAGAAACATCTATCTGTAATGTCCAATCAGAAAAATTTATGAATTTTTGTTAATACATACATACATATCACGTTTATCATAGTGACGTAACAATGATAGGAAAGAATGTGCTGTTATTTAAAACTTATGCTAATGGTTTCCGTTCAGAAAGTAGACTATTAAAAAATGATGGCACACAAAGATATACTAAATTTCCTATGCTTCTATATAAGTATTTATACTTGTTGAATTTGATAAGATTATTTCTGATATATTACATCAATCGAATCTTCAATGAGATGCACTCGACTTTATATCAATTGAGTCTTTATAGTATACGATTTTGAGAGAATGCGCTTTATATTTTCCTTAATATACATATACTAGGATAGTATACTGATTTCGTTCTTTTTACTTAAATATCTCTTTTTGTTGTAATGCTTTTTGTGGGAAAATTATAAAATAAGCAATTTATTAATAAATTTATTATAAAAAGTGAATAAGATTAAGAACTATATACAGAAGTTTTCAAGATATTGAACAAATATTTGAGAATTTTTTCTCCCAAAAATAACGCTAAATATAAAAAGTTTTAAAAGTTACATCTTGCATATACACATTATTAAATCTATAGTGTCAAATTTAAGTTTACTTAAGTTGCCACTTCTCCTACTTAGTAAATAGTTATTTTTTAATAAAACAATGGAATTTAACCCAAATTTGGGTTAAATTTTAACTGTTTAAAATTATATAATTCCATTGTTTTAGTTAAAAATAACTATATTTATTAAGTAGAAACAGTTGCGACTTAACTAAAGTTAAATTTGACACTATAGATTTAGCAGTGTATATGTATGATTACTACTGATTTTACTGTAAAATTTTTTTTCTATTAGTCAGTCAGATCAATGAGATAAAACATACAAAAGCATACATAAAGCTAGTTAGGAATAAGGAAGAGCAAAGTACAAGAGTTTGCAATTGAAAATAAGTGAAATAATTAATAATTCATTAATTTTCTGTGTCGCTAGTTTATTTAATGAAACTTTGTTGATCATTTGAAAAAAAAGTGTATGTGATGTGAGTTTACTACAACTAATGTTCTTGAATCTAAAAATTGAAACACTGAAATAATATAATGTTCGTGAATCTAAAAATTGAAACACTGAATAATATACTACATATATTTAATATACTACATATAATAAATAATAAAATTAAACACTTACATATAATGAATAATAAAATTAATAAGTTAATATCATTTTTTCGATACTGATATTCGAATATTAGTTATTAAATTTTTGTTGATATCACACAAGTCTATCTATATTTACGGGGATTACATCCCCTGCTGCGAATAGAAGTCTCGACTGGAAAAAGAAGTGTAAATTAGTAAGATCATTAAATGAAAAAGAAAAAAATTACGAGGCTATAAAAAAATATATTTTTTATTTTTGACAACTTTTATTCTTTATTAAAAATTATGATCAATTTGTAAAATTATTTGAAATATGCAAGCGTTAAAAATTTTTTATTTTTTATTTGTTATTATATTTTCTTACTTTTTTATGTGAATAAGCGAGTTTTAGATTTACATGTCAAAAAATAAGTACATATATAGAATCGCGAATGAAGAATATGTATAAGTATTTGATATTGACATTTACAAATTAACCGTTATGTACAAAAAA